TCATTAATAACAGCTTATAAACTGGATATCAAACTACTGGCAGAGATCCAGGTTTATCTGGCATCGTCCTAACCCCATCCCCAACGCAGATCTGCTAAGGTTTCTTCCCTAACAACAAGTTAATGTGTACAAATTTAAATTAGTAGATTGGAATAAACATAATTAACACTGGACTAATAAGGTGGCTAGATCATGTTACCATGACTAACAGACTAACATAAAAGTAAATCCTATGCCACAAATTTTTGACTACCCCTCAAAACATTTCTGACCACCGCTCAACTATTATTAGTTGGTCAGCCGAGCATAGTATTTCAATGTACACAGTATTAGCTGGGACCATTTTGTGTCATCTTTGACCCACCATTATATATTTTTCTTATCAGTGAACTTGTTAGGCAAATCAAAAACATTCTTGTAACTCTTCCAGTAAGGAAAAGACAAGATAGCTTCACCATCGTTATTTTATTATTTTATTATTTATATAGTGCCAGCAAATTCCGTAGCACTGTACAATGGGTGGAATAGCTGACATGTAATTATAACCAGACAAATGGACACACAGGAACAGAGAAGTTTAGGGCCCTGCTCAATGAGTTTCATGATTAGTTATTAAAATTACTTTGTTTACATTAAACTCTCTACTGATTTTAGAAATAATTTAGAGCATCCACAATCCTCATCCCCTTATCTATAATAATTATCATCCCAATGAAACCAAAGGAGCTGTCTATAGCTGCTACATCCTTTATAGCAGTTATAGACCAATTTCTTTTAATGTCAATATTAAGCTATTTGTAAAAGTCCAGGCAGAAGTTACAGTCCAGCATTTCAACCATTATATGCTTGTAGAAAAGTAATGATGGTCCTGGAACTCAAATTAAAGCCAGTGAGCAGATTAATTGAAGCAAATGAAAATCAACTTTTTTTGGCCTACAACAGGGCCTTTTCAAGCTTATTGTAGGCCAAAACTTTGCTTTTCATCTGCTTAAAAAAATTTGCTCACTGAATTTAACTTGAGTGCCTGGACCATCATTACTTTTCTACAAGCATATCATGGTTGAAATGTTGGACTGTAACCTCTGCCTGGATTTTTACAACTTACATTGTGGGGATTGGCCAACCTCAGTCCCTGTTGCACCCTGGGATCCAGAAGAGTGCAGTATCCCATTTGGTAATTACCAAGATATGCTTGTGACATGTGGGGTTTGCTTTGAGACACTGGATACACCAATTAAGTACTGGCCTTCAGTCTTCAATCTATTTTAGTTGATCCCAGGCACATATGTCCTTTTAATGAACACAAAACAAGCATTTGACAGAATGAATTTGGAAGTTCACATATTAGTTCTGAAAGACATGGGATCCTAAATATGTCATAATTTCTGGCCCTCTCTGAATCAACACAGGCGAGGATCTGGTTTTAATGGATCTCTTCCAACATTGTTATAAACAATGTTGCTATGTTTACACTGAGGGTTAATCCAGCCTCTAGTGGCTGTCTCACTGACAGTCACTAGAGGCCGCTTCTGCGTTTTCCGCATTGATTTTCACAGTGAGAAGACGCTGTACGTCCATAGGAAAGCATTGAGAAATGCTTTCCTATGGGCGGTTTGAATGCGCACGTGGCTCTTGCTGCGCATGTGCATTAGGCGCTGACGTCATCAGGAGGAGGAGAGTTCCCCAGCGCAGAGGGAGCCCAGCGCTGCGGAAAGGTAAGTGGCTGAAGGGGTTTTAACCCCTTCAGCCCAGGGGAGGGGGGCCATGAGGGTGGGGGGACCTAAGGACTACATAGTGCCAGGAAAACAATTTTCTTTTCCTGGCACTATAGTGGTCCTTTAATTTTAGAAAATCTGATCATATGTAGAAAACGTATTTGAAAATGTTAGTATATACCTCAGTTGAATTAGGTCAGAGCTGAATAAAATGTTAGTTAATTTAAAGGCTACACAAGCAAAGGAAAACTTAAAGGGACACTATAGTCACCAGAACAACTGCAGCTTATTGTATTTGTTCTGGTGAGCATAATTATCACCTTCAGGCTTTTTGCAGTAAAACACTGTATTTTAGTGTATTTTAGTGTTTACATTACAGCCTAGGGATACCTTGACTGGCCAATCTTCAGATGGCTACTAGATGTGCTTCTCTGCATGGAGACACTGAACTGTCCTCATAGAGATGCATTGTGCCGCATCTGATTGTGAACTTTTCCATTATCTATTATTTGTGTGCACTTTACTATCTGGTGTAGTTTTTACACAGATTTCTTTACCTAGATTTTTATTTACATGCTGCAATAAAGTTGTTTTACTTAAATTCACTCCTGAGTCCTGACCTTTGACACCTGGAAGACTGTAAAGGGAGATTTGGAGCAGCAGAGATACATCCTCTACATAACACACACACACACACACACACACACACATATATAATTATTTTTATTTTTTACTATATTCTGTTTGGATTGGAAATGGTATAGGATGAATGGAATAATTGACAAGCCCAGAGATCATTCCTGCTCCTAGTTTTTGTCCCGGAAGAAATGTACATGAACTGAATTTAAGTCTAATAAACAGGTTCAGACTAGAAATGTCTAATAGCTAATTGCACCGCTGCCCTGATAGTGAATACTGAGAGAATGCCACATAGCAAGACAGCCAGACATATATCATTGGCATTGTATCAATAAAGAGTATGAATTACTAAGTATGAATTAGCCAGTCATAGATTATTTTGCATTGTAGCAATAATGAGTACAAATTAGCACGTAAGCTTGAGGGAAATATGTAAAATTAAATCGGACTATTGCTATTTGGTATTCACCATTCTTCACTAAGAAGTAACCAGACTGCTTTTGGAGTACAAAGAAGTCATTTACAAAATGAGTGTGACACTCATAATACAGTAGAGAAGATTATATATATTACACAGTGCATTATACAACTCCTCACCACCAATAATGTATCTTTATTATGAATTTTATTGTTAGTTTAAAAATTTCACTTTACTCACAATACACACAATATCTGCGCATATTATCTGTTAACATGTTCCTTAGGTTCATTTTCTGTTTCCTTTACTTCTCAAAGCATTGATTCCTTTTTTGTCATTTATTTTCTACATTTATCATTGCACCAACTAAAGGATTATTGATGGTCTCCCATTGGTTTTGTATTGCTTTGTGACTATCATGAAATTACATCAATAAGTTTTCATTATATGTTGGTCTGTAAATGCTTTGTTAATTATGGTTTGTACTTGTCAATTTGGTTCAGAAACATAGTAAGCAGAGGGGGAAGAAAAATCTATGTGTATGTAGTGTTTCCAAAAAGAGAGACCAGAAAGGTATACTATACAATTCCTGTGTCATGAAATCCAGATATTTGTATTTTTCCCTGGAGGAAATTCTCTAAATGTACCAGTCTTAGAATTTGGCAGACAAGCAATCATGCCTCCTTATCAGTTTAGCCTCAAAGTGTAACCTCTCTACATTGTATACCTCCAATTCTGAAAACATTGCCAGAATGTCTGGTAAATGTGCGTTCCTAAATGTCCCAAAACCAACTATATATATAATACAAATTATTCAGCCAGTTCGTAGAGGAAGGATATAGGAAGTACATTTTGGGGTGGAGCATGCAATATATTATTCACTGTATACCCTCAATACTGTTAGCTTTATGGAGGTATCAACCAAGAACAGCTATTGACAGATAAATAACCGAATAAATGATTGTTGCAGAGAACAATAGTGTATATTGAATATCACAAAAATATAAATGATTTTATATAAATACCACCCCTTACCATATACTGCATGAACAGGGTTCAACATTTCCACTGTCTGTTAGCAATTGGTGAGTGAAAATTCAGCCATTGTGAGTAAAAATTGACTCATTGTTAGTGTGCCATGGATCCCCCAGACTTTCTGTGATGAGTAACCTTTAGGTCTGGATAGTAGCATAGGACTTAAAATATTGAGCACTGTGTAACCTTTAGTTATTGGTAGCAGTAAACCAAGATAAGGCTGACTTGATGATGTTGGCAGGTGCTGCTTCAGGTCCTGATGAACATAAACTGTGCAACGTAAATATACAAATCATTAGTTTTCCGTGACATGAACTGCAAATTGTATGGTTATTTATCTTTCTTCTTTCATTTGCAGTTGTCAAGCAATGGCTAGGAGTCCCCGATGAATGGGTAAACGTGATAACCCAGGGTTATGCAAGTTCCTCTAGTTCTAATAATTGTAGATAAGCAGAAAGATTACAACACGAGAAGTGACTATTCTCACTTCAATACTTTGCAAAAAATAAATTTAGAAAACATTCTAATGAAGTCATTGTGAAGCCAGGGTTGCTAGTGTTTCAATCCAATAGTTATACTTTTGTAGTAGAAGTTGATTGTTACATTTGAGAAGAAGAGGTACGTAGTTTATATTCATGAATCTCTAAGAAGGCAGTCGATGAGGGCTAAATTAAACTATTTATTCATGTTATTTTCTTGTCATAGTTGTCTGTCGTGATATCTGAGCTCTGTTCTTTAATCCTATGTCTCAGGGTTAGACAGACTTGAAATGAAACAGGTTGCATGGATTGTTCAGCATATAGAAAAATATATGTTTCATGGAAATCCATTTTGTGGGGGTATATACAGGTCAGATTTGACCTTAAGGTTGCATACATTTTGGTTTCTTTGTAAATAAGTAATTATTCAGTTCTTATTGATTGTGGTTAGATTTCATCCATTACTTGGATGGATTGTTGAATTCTGCCTGCAACTATGTGGAAACTTAAACTAATTGTAAGTAATCATGTCTATGTTTCACTTTCTCTAATCTTGTCTGATCTTTGCCATGTGTGTGTTGCTTTTTAGAGCTCTTGTTGGAAAACTTTGAAGTTATACCTTTTTTGTCTGAACCTCTGTTATTTCTTTTTGTCCTCCGGGAGGCATAACCACCTAGCAAAGCTAGTGGGTATGCGGCAGCCTCCCGGAGTCAAATGCCAGAGCTGAAAAGGCTCGCGCTGTGCATCTGCACAGCAACAGCCTTTCAGCCAATCAGGTAATCAGGAGAGCCGTGCTGAGCGCGGGAATCCTGATTACCTCAGATTTTTTAAAATGGCATCATTGATGGAGGACTCTATTTCTGTGTCTGCCACAGATTTAGTGGATGCCTCTCTTAAAGGCAGCCCCATCAATGTTAGAAAGCTCCATAAGAGAGCTTTCCTTGCCAGGGATCTATCCTCTTCATCATCTGAGGAGGATTTGGTCCCAGTTTTAAATAAAAAGCATAAAGGAAGACGGCTGGTCTCTTCCGCCAGTTCCTCGTCTGAGGAAAACTTCTCCGCTCCTCCTTCCCCTCATACTCGTTTGAGTAAGCGAAAATTTAAGGGGACAGGACCTCAAAAAAGGAATAGCGTGTTTCCCTCGTTTGAGCACCAGAAACACCTCCCAGAGGAAAAGGGCAAATCTCGTTGGAGGTTAGATAGTCCCTCTCCTTCCTCTTCTAGAGCGTTCGCTCACTCTTCTTCCCAAAGCCGTCCCAGTTCCAGATACGGCTCTCCAGAAATAGACTGGGAATCCGAGGAAGTGGTTCGTTCAGCAGCTTCCACTGAGCGAGGGAAGCTAAGCAATGTTCAGATGGCCAGAGTAAGTCTCCTAGGAAAGACTCTCCCATCAAAATTATTTCACTCCAGATGGGCTATGGAGCACGATTCCGAGGTTAGAGATTTTGCTAAACTAGCCTTCAGATCCCCCTTGGTTAAGGAAGATGACCTTCTCCTCAGGAACCACATCGGTATCCCGGACATTCAGGCTCTAATGGCCCCAGAGGTAGACCCTTCGCTGTTATCCATCACAGGGAGCAGCGTATCCTCTGATCCCACAGACCAGACTTTTCGCAATATACAGTTTAAAATTGCTGATGCTGTGGGACCACTATTACTGATGCTGGATAAAGCAGAAAAAGAAGGCAATGCTCAGAAACCTTCCACTTCATCCCTGTTAGCATCTAAGATGGCCCTTTTAAAAGCGTCTGGCAGGGCAGTGCTAATTATTGGCCAATCCTTTAATTACATTTCAAACATCCGCAGATCCCGCTGGCTCCATGCAGCTGGTCTGTCCGACCTAGCCCCCAAATCGCATGAGTTCCCAAATTTGGAGGATTCTTACCTATTCGGTCCCTCGTTCATTCAGGAGGTTAAAGGCCGTTACAAGGCAAGGAGATCCTTTTCAGAACTCAAGAAGTCCGTCCCTGGCTACAAGAAGCCCTTTCGGACGGAGGGTCGCCCCTATAGGGCTGCAGGAGCGTCCCGAGAAGCCTCTCACCAGGCCCAGTACCGCCACTACAGTGGAAGACATAAGCTCCCAGGCGGCGGCAGAGGAGCGCATTCCAGAGGCGGTTCAGCTTCCAAAAGGAAACCCATGCATTCAAGTAAGTGTGCCTCCTCATATGCCACTAAATTGGAAGGATATTTCCTCAGACAAATGGGTTCTAAAGATCTTTCAAAGGGGTTTACAACTCCCCCTGTTAAGGTTCCCAGTCCAGAAATTTGCACCCCACAGAGAGGTGAACCCAGTGCTAGATGCCTCCCTTTCCTTAGCTTTAAGTCAAGGAAAAATAGAGTTGGCAGACATGTCTATTACAGGATGGGTCAGCCCATTGTTCCCAATCCCAAAGTCAGACGGTTCCTGGAGACCGGTCCTAAATGTGAGGCCTCTGAACGCTTTCATCAAAAGGAAAAGGTTCAGGATGGAGAGTCTATCAGATCTTCCAGGCTTAGTTCAGAAAGCCTTTTTCTGCATAAAAGTAGACCTAAAAGATGCCTTCCATTCAGTCCCCATAGCCAAGAAACACAGGCGTTTTCTCAGGTTTCAGTGGAAAGGAAAGGTGTGGCAGTGGACTGTTATGGTGTTTGGCCTCTCCAACGCACCATACACATTCTCCAGAATTATGAAATCAGTGATAGCTCATGTCAGACTAAAAGGTTTCATGTGTCTATACTACCTAGACGACATCCTGCTCATGCACCCAGATGGGGAAGCCCTTGCTTCTCAAAGGGATTACCTTGCTTCCCTTTTACAAGACCTAGGATTCGTAGTAAATCTACAGAAATCAGTCCTAATTCCCACTCAAAGCATCCTCTTTCTGGGTTTCATACTGAACACCAGGACTATGTCCCTTGGAATCCCTCAAGACAAATGGGACAAATTATTGGTACATCTGAACTCATCTCTCAAGCACCAGAGTTGGTCCTTGAGAGACCTAGCAAAGATCATAGGGAAATTAATAGCTTTAACACCAGCATACAACAATTCCCCCTTACTTTGCAGAAGAAGTCAGCTGTTTTTAGGGAACCGACTGAGACAGGGTGGCCATTGGGAATCAAAATTTGTTCTCCCCAAGAAGGTCAGAGAAGAATTGAAGTCCATTCTGGAGTTAGAAATTCTATTTCCTCGTCCACTGTTAGAGCAGCCTGCGACAGTCACTCTGACGTCAGATGCCTCAAGTCACGGTTGGGGTGCGTTTACAACCCAAAACGCCATAAGAGGAATCTGGTCAGACCAAGAGAGTCACCTCCATATAAACATCTTGGAGTTACGAGCTATAAAATTAGCTCTCAAGGGCCTAGTTCCTCTAAACGAGTCACCGACATTGGTAAAAGTCCATTCGGACAACAGGACAGCGGTGGCTTATATAAACCACAGAGGGGGTACAAGATCAAGGGGTCTTTGCTTAGAGGCTCTAGATCTTTGGTCCTGGGCCTTAGCAAGCAATGTTCAGGTTTTCGCAGAATATGTTCCGGGAGAGGCGAACGAGCTTGCAGACTCTCTCTCTCGCCAAAGTTTGTCCCTGGCAACGATCCAATTAAAGATTGCTCTTTTCCAAAAGATAGAAAGCAATTTTGGCCAGAGACAGGTAGATCTGTTTGCATCCCAAACATCCGCTCAAACTCCCAGGTTCGTCTCCCGGACCTGGACAAAGGGAGCTTGGAAAATGGATGCAATGTCTTTCCAATGGACGGATGTTCCAGCCCCTTATGCTTTCCCCCCTCCATCTTTACTGATGAAAGTGCTGGAGAAGATCCGCAGGGACAGGGTGCAGAGCTTAGTTCTCGTTTACCCAGTATGGACCTCCAGACCCTGGTATCCCTTGATCCATCAGTTAGTCAAGGGAACCAAGATCCCATTAGGCATGACAGTGGACTGCTTTCAGGGAACCAGCGATCTTCTGCTCAAGCTCCCGCAGCTGATGTGGATTGCAGCCCTGGTAGGCTGTTAACACATCCCCATTTATCGGACCAGGTCTTGGATATTATTAACTCATCTTTAAGATGTAGAACTAGGGTAAGATATAGAAAGATGATCGAGGAATTCAAAGAATGGGAGGTTTCTTTTCTGTCTAACACACAAGGATCTGATACCATTCCTTTGGCGTTAGAATTTCTTACCCTTAAGTTCCATTCTGGTTTATCTGTCAGTTCAATCAAGACCTACGGATCTGCCTTAAACTTCCTGATCCCCAACCTTACTCAGGATGCCCTGTATTTGAGATTACTAAAAGGGTTAGCCGTCTGCCGCCCATATACCCCACGCTACACATCTACTTGGGATGTAGATGTCTTATTAAATTTCCTAAAGTCTTTGGATAATGCTAAAATTGATTTAAGATGGACTGCTATTAAGCTGGCTTCTCTGCTGTCCTTGGCCCTGGCAGCTAGAGGAGCAGAGTTAACTCAGATCCATATTTCAGAACCTTGGTTGTCCAGGACCCCGGGAGGTTTCCATATTATACTAAAAGGCAGACAAAAAACATCCCATTTTTCTCCTGGTCCGGTAGAATTGGACTTGGTCCAAGATTCTTCCGAACCAGGCTTATGTTTAGTCAGTTTGTTACAATCGTACCTTCAACTTTCTGCTGGATTTAGAAACGATATCAGTCAATTATTCATTACATCAAGGAATCCCTTTCGTCCAGCCAAGGTTAATACAATTAGAGGCTGGATACTTTCCGCCATGTCTACGGCTGGAATTGATGTTTCAGTGTTCAAAAGCCATTCAATTAGGGGAGCCTCGGCTACTAAAGCAGCAGGAAAGGGCCTTCCTCTAGCTACTATCTTAAAAGCTGCAAGATGGTTGTCCAGTAAAACCTTTGTTAGATTTTACTGGAGGCCATCAGAAGTTGAACGCCTTCAGTTTCTTAGGACCACCACCAGGTGTGTGCTATTCTACCCACTAGCTTTGCTAGGTGGTTATGCCTCCCGGAGGACAAATCAGAGTTTGCAGGAATCTATGATCTGCAAACTTTCTTTGTCTTAGGGATGAGCATAACCACCTAGCAATAGCGCCCGTCCCACCCTCCTCCTAGTTAAGGGTTTTGCCTGCTGGTGGTAGTTGGTTTTTCTAAAACATAAGGTTATCTGGTGATTATTCAACCTTTTGATAACTGTTCTCTGTTTTGTTTTTTACAGACTATAGCCGTACTCCAAGACAAGACCAACAAACCAAGGATCCACCTAAGTAGAAGGATTGGATGCAAGTAGTCTCGTCGGTTTAATATTCTCATGGACTCCCTGCATAAAGATTATGTCTGCTGGGACTTGTTTCAACATTTCTTGTCTCTTTTATTGAACTTATTTTGTTGCAACTTACGTTGAATGTTTCCAGTGGTCTTTGGATACTTTCCTTTGGCACACATTGTTGCCTTGTTTTTCAGTTCAGCTGTTTTATACAAAGTTTCAAGTCTATCTTGTATGTCTCCATGACTTATTAAATATTTTCTTGTTCCCCTGTACTATTGGCATCTTGAATTATTTTATTTTGTGTTTAGAAGTTTAATTATATTCCTGTACACTGTGGGAAATATTTATTCTTAGTATTTCATGGGATGTGCTAACCATCCGCAGTTTCCCAATTTTAAAAAATCTGAGGTAATCAGGATTCCCGCGCTCAGCACGGCTCTCCTGATTACCTGATTGGCTGAAAGGCTGTTGCTGTGCAGATGCACAGCGCGAGCCTTTTCAGCTCTGGCATTTGACTCCGGGAGGCTGCCGCATACCCACTAGCTTTGCTAGGTGGTTATGCTCATCCCTAAGACAAAGAAAGTTTGCAGATCATAGATTCCTGCAAACTCTGATATGTTTTTTGTCCCGTCATAGTTTGTTGATGTTACAACTAAGTATATGTAAGTAATAGAATATGGGCAGTGATCTCTTTGAATGTGTATGAAAGCTGTTAGCTAACAATGTGATGTGATCTGTTTTCTTTCTGTATAGGGTGTATCCTAGATTGTCACCCACAAATATGTTTCTACAGCCAAAAAGAAAGACGTGGGATGGGATGCTGGATAATGTAAATTAATTTAGTCACGATTAATGAGAGCTGATAGAATTGGGACTGAAGTCTAAAATAATTACAAATAACTGTAATTTCAAATAGATGTAGTATTACACATGGAATATCTCCCTGATGTCAGGACCAAGATCTTTTTAAGGAGAACCATGGATCAACTGTACTATAAGGAAGGGGACTGACTGGAGATAAGTGGCCCTAAGGGACACAGCAATATTAGCACATTTGGTTTGTACTTTGTGCCTGTTTATTGTTTTATGCTTTATTTTTTTGCATTTAATACTACACTATATGTGTTTTTTCTCTGTTTAATTTACGTTTTGATACCGAATTATAAGTTGCTATAACAAACCATAAGGTTTGTTCCATAGTTGTACCTAAATGCACTAGCACGTAATAGACTGCTCTGTTTTCAGAGTTATCTTACTTTATCTGAAAATACTTGGTGCGGAACGCTTGGTGGTGCTTGCCTATGTCACACCGTGTGTTGCACACATAAAACATATTGATTATGATTTTATTTTAAAACCTACATGCCCTTTTGTGAGCAAGCTTAATAATTATCCAACTGGATATTTTAACCTCATAAATAATGTATTGGACCATAGTCCCCAAACTCTATTTATACTTTTAACACTCTGTTCTTTAATAATAAAAAATGAGTTTGCATCTATGTAGCAAATTTTAAAAAACACCAATAATGTAAGGATGTTCCATATTTCATATGGCTGGAAAGCATTGGTTTCCCATAGAGAATACTAAGAAATTATGAAAAGAAAAGTAATAGCTGTATTCATCTTAATAGAATGTATAGCACAAACTGTGCACTCTAGCAAAATAGATGAGAATGTTGTGAAATCAATAACAATGTGAATGATTAAACAAAGGGTTTTAGCAAAGGTATTAAAAAAAGAAGCATAATCAAAGTAAAAGTAAAGCAAATCTTTCAAGAAACAAATAGCTGAGTCAGTGTAGTAGAATGCTAGGGCAACATCCAACTGTGGGTTATAATGGGAAAAGCAGGATATTTCAAAGCACAATAAGAAATGGAATTGCAAATATTTACTACCTGAGGTTTTCAAT